GGCGAGAGGATTGCCTGAGCCCGTGGGTTCCAGACCAGCCTGGGCAACATGGTGAGACCTCATGTCTACAATAAATCAAAAAATTAGCTGGACATGGTGGCGCACGCCTATGGATCCAATACTTGGAAAGATGAGGTGGAAGGATCACCTGAGCCCAGTAGGTTGAGGCTGTGGTGGCCATGAGTATGCCACTGCACTTCAGCCTGGGCGACAGAGTGGGACTCTGACTCAAAAAAAAAGAAAAAGAAAAAGAAGATCACAGCCACTCAGATGGTGTCAGAAGGTCCCAGCTTCATGGATGATCTCGGGCGATGTGGAGCAGTGTGGGGAAGAATGGTCCTTGAGAATTCGCTCCACGTTGAAAGACGGTGGCGCACAGTGAGACTCAACACCCGTTAAGGCCAAGAGATTTAATGTGTCGAACGTGGTGAGCTACAGGACCTGAGGGTCAAGCTGTAGCCCCGAGGCAAGGGCGCTACGGCCTTTATAGGGGCTCAGGGCAACCTGTCTGTCGTCTATAGGTCGGCTGGCAGAGCTTCATGTAGGTTGGTGGATTTTTCGCAGGCACGGGAAAGGGTGCAGAGGGAGAAGAAAGGAAGGCATTGAGGAAGAACAAAGGAAGGCACCATTTCAATCACCATTTTAGTTTGCCGTGTCCAGGAAAGGGAGGGGATGTGACTTTACTTGTGGCTTGGCGGTGGCCCTTCACACGTGGTGGGTATGGCTGACTTGCGCTCTGAACACTACTCTTCTGATGGAATCCACACCAGGACGACCAGAGGACCAGAGTCTTCCTTGGGTGTGACTGAGATGGGGACATAAAATCAACAGTGACAGACCATTTAATAAATGCAGGGGGTGAGGGACAGGAAGGAGCCAGGGCTTTGTTCAGTTGGGTGGATGATGGCACCCCTTGCGGGGACAAGAAGTTCTTGGGGTAAGTAAGGCAGAGCAGTTTTGAACATGCTGAGTTTGAGGGTCTGTGGGTCTTAGGCTGAGACTGGAGGCAGTTAGATGAAACCAGAATGGCAGAAAACTTGGCTGTCGAAGCTGGGTGATGGGTCTGAAGGGCTTCTTTGTATGATTCTCTCGATTTCTGTGTATGTTCAAATCTCTATGATGACAATGATGAAAGTGTGAATAGGCAAACCGGAAGAACTGTTAGGTCAAAATCCCAGTGGGCCTCATCACACCTGCCTGGGGTGTGCAATCCTGCGCCACGCAACGGATGCAAAGAATTGCACAGAAGTTAGATGGGAACATATAGCTTATTTAGAAAGTAAATTAGAGAGAGAGAGGAGAGGAGATTCACCTCCCCAAGGTGGAGGGGGGGGGGGGCAAAGCTAGAAAACATGGCAGCCATAGCTCAGGGTGCCATGTGACATGACCAGAGTTTAACAAAGCAAATGGCCCTGGAAGCTGAATGCTTTTAAACCTTCCCTTTATTGGGGTGGGGGTGGGGGGTCAGGTCGTTAAAGTGATTGGGTGATTGTCTGTTCCACATCATCACGAAGGGGACAGGTAAGCACAGGTACAGACGTCAGGTGATGGACGACAGGTAGATGGGTGGGTTAGTCACGTGACTCTTGCCATGTTGATGGCGTCTGAGTCATGACGGTCAAGAGGGGCTGATTAGGTTAACTTATTTATTATGCAAATACTTGATATAGAAAGGCTAATTAGTACAAAACAAACTGGGGAGGCAAAATTATCGATAGCTGCCTCCGAGAAACCAGTTCTGCCTTTGGCTAGCGATTGGAGGGCAAATTAAAATGAACAACTAGAAAAACATGACAGACCAGGCAATGTTAAAATGTCTACTCTTTGGTTATACCGACTCCATCTTATGTCCCTTTAAGAAGGAACACTAATCTTTTCAGTTGGCTGGGAAGGGAAGGCGTGAGATCAGGCAATGAATATTGGAATTACAGGGACATAAAAGAGTGCCGTTTGTTTACAAGATGAGACAGTGACATAATCTGGATATCTGTCCCTTCCCAAACACATGTTGGAATCATGTCCCCAGTGTTGGAGGTGGGAACTAAAGGGAAGTGTTTGCGTCAACAGGGGGATCCCTCATGAATGGCCTGGTGCTGTCCCTGAGGGTGTGAGTTCTTGCTGTTGGTTCCCACGAAAACTGTTTAAAAGAGCCTGGCGCTGGGCGCGGTGGCTAGTGCCTATAATCCCAGCACTTTGGGAGGCTGAGGTGAGAGGATTGCCTGAGCCCTTGGGTTCGAGACCAGCCTGGGCAACTTGGCGAGACCTCATCTCTACAGTAAATCAAAAAATTAGCTGGGCGTGGTGGTGCATGCCTGTAGTTCCAGCTACTTGGAAGGCTGAGGCAGAAGAACCATCTGAGCCCAGCAGGTGGAGGCTACAGTGGCTGTGAGCGTGCCACTGCACGCCAGTCTGGGCGACAGAGTGAGACTCCGACTCACAAGAAAAAAGAAAGAGAGCCTGGCCCCTCCTCTGCTCTCTCCTGCTCCCTTCCTCCAGACATGGTCATGTGATGTCTGCTCCCCATTCCCCCCCCCCCCCCCGTGAGTGGAGGCAGGTGCTGTGGCCATGCTTTTTTGTACAGATTGCAGAACTGGGAGCCAAACAAACCTCTTTTCTTTAAACATTTCCCAGCCTCAGGTATTCTTTGATAGCAACACAAAACCAAATGAGACAGAGAAGGGGACTTGAGTATGTGTTTTGGATGAGGAAAAGTACCAACAGAGGTTGTATCAGTTAGCTATTGCCACAAGGTTGCTGCATAGCAAATCAAGCTACAACTCAATGACATCATCATTTGTGGTCACAGATCTGTGGATCGACTGGTGGTAGGTTGATCAAAGCTGGGCTCAGCTGGGATGGCTCAGCTGGTGTTACAGCCGAACCAGGTTCTTATTTGTGCCCGTTGCCCAGAAAAACCAAAACTGATGCAGCCATTACAATGGAGAGTTTAAATTCACAAAGCAGCTAAGCGAGGAAGGCAGGAGAAATCGCTCACATCTGCCTCCCTGAAGATTCGGAGAATATGGTTTCTAAAGGGAACTTGGTGGGCAGAGGGATGGGGGCTGCTGATTGGTTGATGATGTCATTAGGGGGTGTCGGCACTGTCTTCCTGGGGTCCGGTGACTGGTAGGGGACTTCCTGGCACTCTGTGCCTCGAGTTTGGGTCCCCCAGAGTGCAAAGTCTGAAAAAGATCTCAGATACCATTCCTAGGTTTTACAATAGATGCTGTCTACAAAACAATTCCCCTGAATGACAGGTACTACCCGCCAACCCTGAACCATTATGAAGGCAGTCCCGGAGGAAGGTGTAGGGGGAGGTGGGAGTCCTGGAAATCAGAGTCGCTTCTTTCAAATAGCTCATCTCCACAAGCAGTTTCAGACCCATTGTTTAAGAAAGAATATGTTGATATTTTAAACGTCATTTAATGCAGGTGATCTATTCAAACACATTTGTTCTAGCTCAAGCTGGAAGAAGTGATCATATCAGAAGTTTTCATTCATTTATAATTCCTTTCTCTCTCTTGTTCCCAAATAGATAGCAGTAGTACATGCCACAGGCTGATTATCTGGGTAATCTCTTGTAGGTGGAAAGATGAGATTGATAGTGCAGTAATCAGTGATCCATAGAGTGTTATGCATAATTCAAGTTTCACTCTTGTTTCTGTACCTTTATTGCACATTGTTCATTCCAAACCTGTGGGACCTTGTCAGGCCTTGGGCACTCAACCTTTCAGATCTGGTCCAGGTTGAGGGTAAGGAAAGATCTGTCATGTTGCCACTGAACCTACACTCTCCCTAACGAGTCCTGATGAAATAGCCTTTCCCACATTCTGTTTCCATCATTCCCATGGTTGAAGAAATGATTCATTGGGGGTGGGGGATGTGGTTTTCTATACTCTAGCTGCCATCTTGAGATGTTTAAAGAATCTGGAGTTAGAGCAACTGTTAGCGTCTCAGTGGGCAATGGGAAATCTTATCAAGATTTCCTAGGATCTTACACATCCTAGGAAATCTGGATAAGTAATTCCCTTGGTCTCAAGTGAGTCTCTTCATGTTATCTCTTGATGTACACACCCCAAAGCTAGTTCGGGGGCTGTGATGACAAGCAAATCACCTTTTCCAAAGTTGCGGCTTCCACAGAGACCAAACCTTACAGATTTGGAATAAAGACTTAAGCAGATTGACTTAAAAAAAGATATGTTGATCAGCCTTGCCCCTCCACAGGGGTCAGGACCTGAAGGTAATTAAGTATAGGTGGTTTCACTGGGATGGCCTGGCCTTGCCCCTCAAGTCTCTTTTCTTCCTGGGACAGGCTGATGCACAGAACCTTGTGAAAGAAGCAGAGCACAGAGAGTAACACAGGATGTCTTTGGAGGCCTAGGCTTGGAACCTGCATGCGGTTGCCTCCCACTTTAAAAAAAGGCTTGTCTGCACACTGAAATCACCCAGGAAGTTTCCAAAAATATACCGATGCCTGTTTCTCACCCCCAGAAATTGTGACTACAGTGGTGCAAGCATGCGCTGGGCTTTGGGATTTTGCAAAGATCTCCCCGCAATCTTAAGGAGCGTGCAGCCAAGTCCGGGAACCGCTATCCTGGGGTTTGCAGCGAAGGCAAGCAAGATACAGCATGCAAGGAAATCCATCGATGAAGAGGATGAGCTGCTAACGCGGCGAAGAGGGGCTGGCGTAAACTATGTACGGCTAGTGCTTTTGGGGGGGGGGATGCTGGCGGATGCGAGAAAGGTCACACGCAAGCAGCGACCCTGCCTCTGCGTTGTCTGGGCCTCTCGGGAGCCTTTGGCGGGGACGCG